ATTTTTCTATTTCTAGTTCTTTCTTTTTTTCTTCATCCACAGCATACTAACAAAAAAGAGAGAGAACATGACGTGCTTTAGTTCTTTTGAACCGTTGATATTTGATTTGTTGAGAAGTAACAAAAATACGTCATGTTCTCTCTCTTTTTTGTTAGTATGCTGTGGATGAAGAAAAAAAGAAAGAACTAGAAATAGAAAAATATTCTTTCTTTTCTTTGCACTCAATCATACCTTCTTCCATAAGGTTCGCGACCGCACGCGTGTAGTGGTATAAATACGAATGATGTACGATAGATGAAAGATGTTCTACCGAATAAAAAGAGCAGAAAGAAGGGAATAAAATAGAACAATTTGTCAGAAGAAAAAAAGGTAGTTGTTATTTTATGACAGTATTTGTGTCAAAACTGTTGTATAAATTGAAGATGCCTAAAAAGGAGAAGAAGCGATACGGGGTTTTCATTTCACGAATTTTCTCCAAAAAGTTATGTATGCGTATGCTCACTAAAAAGTTCTGGACAGAACTGTATAGTACAAAAATGTCAAAGACTTTTTATTATAGGCGACGCGCACGTTTAGATATATGTCATAGAAGGATTAAACTTTCTTTTTCTTAAACAGAAAGAAAAAGAACAGAATTCAGAAGACAGAAAAAAATTTTGTTTACATACTGTAAGAAGGAGCAAAATGTATTAATTACTGTGGTAATGTTTAAGGAAAAATTTCTTCGTTTTCTAGTGCGAAAGTTGTCGGATTTTCAATGTTTTCGTTCCAGCTCTCATAATTAAATGCATGTTTGCATTCATTTTCTTTTTTTTAGTATTGTCTTTATATAGCATGGGTAATCTATTTGCGTCGCCATCGAAATTAACCTCACGACAACAAGAGAGAATGCCTTCCACAACGGAAAATGCGATGGCAGTGAGCAAGTATGTTGCAATTGGTGCATCAGATGCAGTTGGTGTTGGTACACCGAAACCGCAGCAAGATGGTTGGGTACCAAAATTTGCATCGTTTATACAAGCGCAAAAAACAGTAAATCTCGGCGTGAGTGGTTCAACACTGAACGAGGCATTGAGACAGCAGATCCCATCAGCCTTACAAAATCAACCCGACGTGATAACGATATGGTTAGCTGTCAATGACTTTAATCAACAAGTATTCGACACAGATATATTGAATAAATACAAGAAAGATTTGAATATAATGTTGTCAACGCTTCGATCTAAGCTAGGACAAGAAGTTAAAATACTCGTTGGGAATATTCCCGATCTGTCAAAAGTAACTGTTTATACACAATTCGGTATACCGTCATTATTGTTAAGCATAAAAGTTAAACAATGGAACTCGATCATAGCAGGTGCTGTTAAAGCAAACCGGTGCACACTTGTTGACTTATATAAACATTGGGAAGAACTCGCTAAGCATCCGGAGTATATTTCCTTTGATGGTTTTCATCCATCATCAGATGGCTATATGAGATTAGCGCAAGTCTTCTACGATCAATACAAAAAATAACTCTCTTCATTTGTCAGTTTCTACATAAGAAATACTGACGTCATTTATCAACCACAAAGAACAAGTATTTTCTTTCTGGTTAGTAGCATAGACCTTCAGCCTTAGCACATCAGCTTCCGTCATCCATTAGAGATCATTTCCATCAAGGGGAGTTATACTCTTACGCTGGTGTTCGGACTAGAGATGAATATATGTCTTCAGAATTTAAGATGACTAATTCTAGTTTTTCTGGAAGTTTCAACTCTTTCCAGCGGAAGCCAGCAATTTTCCGGAATTCCAAAAATGTGAAAACAAATTGATTTTAACTGAATGACTTTAGATTTGTTTCCATTGAATTAATGTCTTCACTAACGGACAAAGGAGAAGTTATGTGTATGTATTTATAAAGGGTGCTTGCCACTCATTGTTATACTTCAATTCTGATAGCATCAATTAATCAGAGATACGAAGACTGAGAGCTGTTAGCAACGTTTCGATGACACACAATACATTTGTAGAGTTTCTCATATACTACCTAGTGGTCACTAACATTGTTCGACCTTTAAGTCCTTAAATTCCTTACAATAAACATCGTTCAATTACGTTAGACTTGGCGAGCCGTTGAACAATTACAAATCTAGTATTTTGTGGAATTCAAGATGATAGGTTTTTTGTGGTTTTATTATGTTTATATAAAATGCTTTATAGATTTAAAACGAAATAAATGTATATCTCTCTCAAAATTTACTGATACGTCGTTATTATTATACAATAAAAGCAAGTTCAAGAACGAGTTTCAAAAGAACTTTCAGAAAATGTCTGTAAAACCTATTCTCTGTAACAAATTCGGAACTATCTAAATCAATGGAGCAATCATTTCTCCTCCAGACGGTGCCGAGCTCTGTGCTATGTATCGTAACGGACATATGAATTTTTCAAGTGCTACCCGATCTACTATTTTTAGTTTAACTGTATCATAAGTTAAGTTAACTTACAAAAAGATTTTGTACTTTAAACATAGTTTCATACAGAATGGACAAACTTTGAAAAGGCAATGGCTAAATTTTCACAAATATAATACTGTCGAATGACAACTAAGTTTACTGTACTTATTTGATTCATCATTGTGTTTGTACATGGAGAAAATTAAATATCCTTGTATCCAGACGGTATGTTGAATCTTCTCTTATAAGAGATAATTTTCTTCTATCGTCTTTGAGTTATTCGACAAATAACCGCCTGCCCTGTATTGTTGAGTTGCTAATAGTTCTTCCGAGGACTATGATCCATCCTAAAGTACAATTAGCTTATTCCCAACAATAGTTTTGAATTCAGGATAGAAAATAGAATGGACGGGAGCGTACGTAGTAGGGAGAAAGCCGGGCAACTCCTGCTTTTTTATTTCCAATGACAGAGTTTATTTGAAAAGTCACATTTCTATTATTCTCTGCCATTCCCGAGGGAAAAGAGTAAAAAAAAAGGATGCAAAAAATTATTTTTCCAGCATCATCATCTTGCTACTCCATCCAACTAGTAATTTAATTATTTCTCTTGACTGAAACAGTAGGTAAGATTCATTCGACCGCTGCTGGGTAGAAGTTGAAAAACTGAATTGAAAGACACCCATATCATATCTTTGCTGGTAGTTGTTAAAAGATGGCAGATCAAACTTTTAAATGGCCACATACTTAGTGGGGTACAGATTCACAAAATTTTAATATTTGTGTCCCTAAAAGTTAGGTCCCATCTCAGTTTATATATATATTTCGATACAGCATAAAACTCTCTACAAGATGGTTGATTCATTTCACGATTTGTTTTGGGTCCGATTTTTGGTAAAGATCAGAAGTGAACCGGCTAGTGAAAAATGCGATATACTTTTTTTTACTATTTCTTACACTAGTAAAGAAACAAGTACACTTTTTGTCATATACCATTTTAAATAAATTGATATTATAGAACATGAGCAATTGACCTACCGGTTTGCTGAGATGCTACAGAGTATCTTTGATGTTAGTACTTCCTTACATTTTCTGTGTTTTGTTTGAGCAAAAGAGGTGAACTAATGAAAACGCTCTAAGTATATTTTATCTACCGAGAGAAAGTTTTGAGTGCCAAAACTTTGCCAAGGAGCATCAGAAAGCGTTTTTTAAGGTCTAGAAATGTATCAGTTTTATTGCCGGAGAGAAACAACATCAATCCTGGCGTAAAGTAATTATCTGAGAGGGGTCGATTTTGGCGCTTATCGATCTACTCCTTTCGAAGGTGAAGTCGATCGATGAAACAGGGGTATAAATTCTGTCCATTTTGCCACGTGATGGTTGACTCCCAGGCCTAGTCACAACTTGCAAAAATTTGTATCGTGACTGAATCAAGAGAAAAACATACAATCATTATCTTATCTATCATATGTGTCAGTTGCCATTTTGAAAGTGAATTCCAACAAAATTCCGCTTCCAAGTGGTAATTCACATTTATGCCGTTCGTCTACTGTCTCATATTCATCTTCTAATTCGTTTCTCAACGCTGTATCAGTTTCATCAAGAGTCTTATCACCTTTCGATGTGTCATCACGAAAGCTGAAAACACACAAATTAAGAATTTAAAAGAACTAGGCCTTTTCTATAGGATAAACATTCAATTTTTTCGTTCGACAAATTCTCACTATATGAACTTATAATCCTCCTTTTATAATAAAAAGAGATAGAGTGGTGTGGGGCGAATCAAGAACAATTTCGCGATCATGCCAGTATTGGTTGAATACCTTTTTTAATCTTAGAGATCTTTTTGCGTGCGTTGGCAGTCATATAGACAAGACTCTCATTGATACACTTGTGAAAAATTGGCTTAAAATGCTTCACAGTATCGGACTTCCAGTGGTTTTACTGGTTCGCCCCACAGCTTTTCTTGATCTGTCCCACTTGGGGTGATTCAAGAAAACACATAGCTCTGAGTGGAGTGAATCAAGAATACTCGTTAAAATAACTGCATTTTTTAACTTTTGTAAAATCCAATTATCTTAGGGATAAATAGTACTAATTGAGTAGATTTTCACACCACTGGACTCCTTATCGTCTAAGGAACACGGTGAAAGCAAATTTCGAATTGTTCGATAAGAACTGACTGAGATCCGTTTGACGGTTTAAATTAGAATAATAAAATAATATTCTTGATTCGCACCAAGTGGGGCGTTTCAAGAACCACGTAGACAGGTATGAGATGAATCAAGAATTCTGGTATAAATGAACGCAAAAAACCTCTACATATAGAAAGCCAATTCTCAAACCCGTTTATGAACAAAAAATGAAAAGGCCTTTGCCAAACGACTCTTCAGCGACCATAGGCTAGGATTATGTCATTTGTACAGTAAATCCACCGAAAGGAACAGTGCCGTATACAAATATGTGATTAATCAATCTAGTTCTTGTAGTCTGTCAGATTATGTGCCCCTAAGCGCTCCTGTTATTTACTTAAGTCATTATTTTTTGTGCCCTATTTTTCTATGTTGGTGAAGACGATGAGCTGATAAGAAGCTCATCTCGTCGGAGAAGGGAGGTGCTATAAGGAGATTTGATCTCCTATAGACGTCAATCGGTCTTTGTTTATTCTCTCTCAAGCTTATATGGCGAGATTATTCCTTTCTTGAATATGGTATGATTATCTGTTTCCTTTTAGTCAACAGGTATATGGCGGTCTGATTTCTTTTCTTATAGTGTGATGACCTTTTTATTTTATTTTTTTATTATTCAAGCTGTATGATGCGATGGTCTGATTTTCTTTGTTATGTGATGTAATGAAATCTTTTGTTCAAATTCCGAAATTCTTTGTTCTTGCATTTCTCCTCTCTCAATTTTGTGGTATAAATAGCGATATAAATTGTTAGTTCATTACTGATCTATGTTATTTGATTCTGATAGAATCTTTTTAAAACGAAATATAATAAAACGGTCATAATGTTCTCAAATCTTCTATTTTGAATAACGAAAACCGCAAGTCTACATTTATTTTCGTTCAAAATTTATTCAAGAAGTTTGTGGTGACTCCGTGTTCTGAAAAGCATAATAATTATGGTATTAATTCAATTTATGATGAACAGAGCTAGACATACGTATCATATAATTTCTAGCAATGCTTTGAGAAAATAATCAGAATTGCTATCTCAACGGCATGCGATTATCTACACATGTTTGTCACGATGGTTGCAGTCTTCGAGAAACCACCACAAAAGGCGATCAAATATTCAAGGGTTGCTGGGCGATAAAAAATGACGTATGTGTTCAATGTCCGAATAAATGTAGTTATACTGAGCATTACCACGCCCGAAAAACCGTTAAAGTTACCCAGAAAAAAATGCAAGAGGTATTGTATGAAATCATGGCTAAGTACGATGCAGCATCAAAAAATAAGGATGATGCCCAGACAAAAATTAATACTACAGCCGATGCTAAAAGGTTTTTGGAAAAAGCACTAAAACAAAAAAGCGACGAAATCAAACAAAATTGTACTGAGCTGCAGAAAATATGTACCGGGTTTAATATTGTCGATGAACTGTATGCGTTGATCAATATTCTACAAATGGAATCATCAACCTTGAGAAATATCGATACGAAACAGCAGGCAGAAGACTTCAAACGTTCATTACGAGACTTTTGTAATCAGTTGGAAAAAGACTGCATGTCAACCAAACGTGTACCACGACCGATGAATTTATTAGACACATATGCATCTGTGCCAATTACAACTGTGCAGCAGACAGTAGCCAGACACAATCCCACTCAAACTCAGTATATACCTAATACATTCAGCGTGAATACAAATAATTCGAATAGTACCGATAGTGTTCTTCGTAAAGTGTTGAATATGCAAAAGAGGGGCAAAACATCAAAATCGAGCGATGAAAGTGATAAAAGTGAAAATTGTGATTGCCAAAAGTGATTCAGACGATGAAGTAGAGGAGAAAGATATTCGATCGAAAGGGAAACGTACATTACAACATAAGGTAGCAGCAGTCACGAATAAAAATTCAAGAACACCAAGTATAGTGGTCACGAAAGTCTCTCTAACGCCCGAACAAACAAGCATGATGAGCACCGCTGAATTAGTTACGAAACAAGGTGAATCTCCTGACCAACGAACATCAACTTTGATAAATCAAGAATTAAATAAACGATGTCAAGGAAAATCAATTGGTCAGTTGACACCTATCGATATAGCTAAGTTTACAGGATATACCCAAAAATATACGCAAAATGATCATATATCGTTAAATTCAGTATACTACGAGTTTCAAAATAAAATAAACACTATCACTAATGCTGATAGTTCACAAATATTAAAAGTACCACCTGATCTACTATTAGAAATTGCAGCTATCTATCTCGCACTACAAGATGCTCCATCAACTGTACCCGAGAAGAAACAACCATCGATACCTTTGACTCAACAACCGCCATACGGCCAGCTACTTCCTCAGCAACCTGATAACCAATATCCACCAAGTCTGGATCAATACAATAATAGAATGTATCCAAATATGCATCATGGTCATCATCAACATCATCCACCAAACTATAGCGCCGACACGCACCAGAATCCTCCACCTCCTTATTAGCAAAATTTCACAGCATATCGAGATCCGAATCAGCAACGCTTACACAACACTATGGATCCGCACCGTTGGGGTTCAGAGGAGGTTTATCATCCAACACCACAAGTTTTCATGCCAATGCCGATATCTAGTTTTGCTCAAATGAACGTCGGTACCCACCAACCTTCTCGACCTTCACTCCATCATCCACTGCGGAGGAATGATATTGTGTTATCTAAACGGCGGAACAATTCATCGATTGAGCTCTATTATAATCGTCAGGATTATGGCGATCAGTATGAAATGAACAGAATCAAAGACGAATTAAGGTCTCGTTTGAATGGCGGAGCGTTCGGCGCCCTATCTTATAATCAAGTTCAAAACTATAATAAGTCTTGTGATCAGCATAGCTCAATGCAACTGGATGAGTTAAAATACACTTACGATAGAATAAAAGAGAAGATAGCGCTGATTACAGACAATGATCCATTTCGTATTATGGAAGTTTCGGTTGATCTTTTACTCCAGGCGTATGCTCTATGTTCATTAATCCAACAAAAGTCGAAAAGTGGAGATCAACGCACAACAGTATCAGCAGCTTTGTCTGATCGAAATGGATCCCGATTCAGACCAATAAATCAAAATGCAGATGATGAACTGTCGAATACGTCATTATCAAAGTTGCTGACCCTCTACAACGATCGTAATTATCCGAATAAAACTTTGATACAACAAGAAATTGATCATCGATGTATTGAACATGCAGATATTGTCAGACAATACCCGTCTGTATTTGATCAGATAGTCGATGAATGTAGATATAAACCGATCGGTGAACTTCAAACACCTTACTGTTCGTTCAAACCACGAATAACGCAACAAATCGATATTGACTCGAAAAACAGACTCGTCGTTCAACAAGCAGCTATTGCTTACCTCATTCAGCAAAAACAATAAATTGGTAAGAATTACATTTTAAAATAAATATAAAAGAACTTTAATTATTTTATCCTTTAGCTTACATTCTTCCTCGACTGACCTCTTCTTACTCGCCATGAATCATCATATGTTGACAGTTGCCGATCACTTTTACCAACGAACACTCAATGGTTGTCTAATAAACGAGAATATGTACTTACTATGCCTTCGTTTGAACATGGAGCAGGACATATAACATAACGTTTTCAAATTTAAAACAAGAATGTTACTATTTCTCACTCAGAGAAACTACTGCTTTTAAAAAAGGCTAACAGCTAATTGTATTCATCCTTGATAAACTAGTTATATAGTTCCTGTAATAACGCACATATTACAGAAATTGCGAGCGTAAAGTCATGAGCTTTTGATTTTCAGTATAAGAAACAAAACGTTAGATCTCTACAACATTTGTCACCTTCTAGCTGCCAGAAGAATGTTATTCTCTCTTCAGATGCCACTCAGAGACTCTGATGGCTATCTTAATGGTCCGCGTCCTAAGGATCCTCTCTTGACAGAAATGCTGATGGAAACTGGAGGGATCAAGATAATCACCTGCTCTCCAATCGAATGAATAAGTTTTGACGATGTATGTACTGTTGACAAAAATGAATAAAAATAATGAATATTAATACAAAAAATGGGAACGTGATGTGTGCAACTGGCTAAAATCTAACAGAATGAATCCACTACTGAGTTAAATTAGCATTTGTTGTGTTGATTTTCTCTACTAACTGTTTCATTTTCTGCAGATGTTCGTAATCTATTCTCTTCATTTTTTCTTGATGCCCTAATTCCATTCTTTCCATATTTAGTTCCATTTGTTTCGTCTTTTCTTCGTGTTCGTATTTTAACTTTTGAAAATTTTCTGACGATATGTTCGTTTCGTTTGCCGTTCTATATGTGTTGATTGATTTAAACTTGGTTTATTAAAAGTAAAAGTAAACAAAAATCGTTATTACTCTGACGTAGCCATTATATCACTGTTACAAATGAAAGTAAGGTGCCGCTAATTCAAAAATCAAGCACTCTTCATTTTTCCTTGAAAGACACATCATCCGATGCAGAATTTTGTGCTGATTACGAATATCACCTTTTTAGTTCGATTTGTTTGAGTTTTGTG